GGCCAGGCTGGAGTGCAGTGGCACAATCTTGGCTCTCTGCAACCTCTGCTTCCCCGGCTCAAGCAATTCTCCTGCCTCAGCCTCCTGAATAGCTGGGATTACAGGCGTGTGCCACCATGCCTGGCTAATTTTTTAGTAGAGATGGGGTTTCACTATGTTGGCCAGGCTTGTCTCGAACTCCTGTGACCTCAAATAATCCGCCCACCTCAGCCTCCCAAAGTGCTGGGATTATAGGCGTGAGCCACTGCGCCTGGCCACGCTCAGCTAATTTGTGTTTTTAGTTGAGATGGGGTTTCTCCATGTTGGTCAGGCTGGTTTCGAACTCCCAGCCTCAGGTGGTGATCTGGCCGCCTTGGCCTCCCAAGTGCTGGGATTACAGGCTGAGCCACTCACCTGCCTCTTTCTTCTCTTGGTATGTGCTCTTACAGGTTGAGGAGGCACTCGCGAGGTGACCCCACAGGCTAAGGAGGATCTTAACGTTTCTCAAACTCGGTCTTTTTGAGCCTTGTTATGTATGTAGCAGACTATGAAGCCGCACGGGAGTGCCCTCTGACCACCAAGAAGGGCTGGCCTTTCTGTCCCGATCCACAGAGACTCCCCCTCTGCCCCAGGTGTCCCCTCCGCACACTACTGTAGGGTGGTACCTCCTCATATCACCCAGGGACCTCCAAAGCAGGTTGCTCCTTCCTGGCCACAGAGACAGCTGCAGCCTGTGACCCCCCAGGGTATGTGGAAGAGCAGGTCCCCCTGCTTCATTCCTTGCTTGTGGTGAGAAACGAATCCTGGCTGGGTGCCATGGCTCACACCTGTCATCGCAGTGCATTGGGAGGCCAAGAAGGGAGGATTGTTTGAGCCCAGGAGGTTGAGACTAGGCTGGGCAACATGGTGAGATCGTGTCTCTACAAAAAATAAAAAATAATGACTGGGCATGGTGGCTCACACCTGTAATCCCAGCACTTTGGGAGGCTGAGGCGGGTGGATCACTTGAGGTCAGGAGTTTGAGACCAGCCTGGCTAACATGGTGACACCCTGTCTCTACTAAAAATATGAAAATTATCCAGGCATGGTGGCGGACACCTATAATCCCAGCTACTCGGGAGGCTGAGACAGGAAAATCGCTTCAGCCTGGGAGGTGGAGGTTGCATTGAGCCAAGATCGCGCCATTGCACTCCAGCCTGGGCGACAGAGTGAGACTCCGTCTCAAAAAAAAAAAAAAAAAAAAAAATTAGCTGGGCAGTGTGGTGGGGTGTGCCTGTGGTCCCAGCTACTGGCTGCAGTGAGCTGACTGTGCCACTGCACTCCAGTCTAGGAGACAGAGCAAGACCCTGTCTCAAAAAAAAAAAAAAAAAAAAAAAAGACAAATCACCTTCCATGTCTCGACAGCAGCTCCATGTCCCGCTCTGTCGCCCAGGCTGGAGTGCACTGGCGCGATCTCTGCTCACTGCAACCTCCGCCTCCCGGGTTCACGCCATTCTCCTGCCTCAGCCTCCCGAGTAGCTGGGACTACAGGAGCCCGCCACCAGGCTCGGCTAATTTTTTTTGTATTTTTAGTAGAGACGGGGTTTCACCATGTTAGCCAGGATGGTCTCGATCTCCTGACCTCGTGATCCGCCCGCCTCGGCCTCCCAAAGTGCTGGGATTACAGTTGTGAGCCATCGTGCCCGGCTGACAGCAGCTCCTTAGCAGCCTTGGGAGCTGGAGCCAGAGGGGGTCGAGTTTGATGTAAGTCAAGTACATGGCATGATGGTTTCACAGGCCAGGATGCATCTGCCACATGACCCATGGGGTTCACGGTCACGGACATCGCTGCCCACAAGATTACTGTGCAGGGCCAGGGCTGTGATGGCGTCTGTATTGCCAGAACCTCAGGTTTTGTGAGTGCCTTTCTGCCGTTGACTCTGTGTGTCGTGAGTCCAGCACCGCCTCAGGCAGGGTCACAGCGAGAGGCTGGACCCCGTTGTCCTTTTCCCTTTAAGTGGCCGCTGTGGCCGGGGGGACTTGACTCAGTGTTGGCAAACGGTGAGGTTCTTTGTTGTGGGTGCCTCCCTGCCTTGCACCCACTGAGACCCTCTAGGAAGAAGTGTCTGGATTTTTTTTTTTCTTTTTTGAGACAGAGTCTCGCTCTGTTGCCCAGGCTGGAGTGCAATGGTATGATCTCGGCTCACTGCTAACTCCACCTCCTGGGTTTGAGGGATTCTCCTGCCTCAGCCTCCTGAGTAGCTGGGGCTACAGGCACCCGCCACCACGCCCGGCTCATTTTTGTAGAGATGGGGTTTCACCATGTTGGCCACGCTGGTCTCAAACTCTTGACCTCAGGTGATCCATCTGCCTCTGCCTCCCAAAGTGCTGGGGTTACCGTCGTGAGCCATTGCGCCCGGCCTGGATGTTTTTGTCTTGCTCTCTGGGGCACTGCTATGTTTTTCCCTCTGCCTGGAGCTCCTGGGCTGACACTTGGGTCTTTGCATTTTCTTTTCTTTCTTTCTTTTTTTTTTTTTTTTTTTAGAGACAGGGTCTTACTGTGTTGCCCAGGCTGGAGTATAGTGGTGTGATCATAGTTCACTGCCGCCTCTACCTCCGGGGCTCAAGTGATCCTCCTGCCTCAGCCTCCTGAGTAGCTGAGGTGACAGGCATGCGCCACCATGCCTTACTAATTTTTAAATATTTTTTATAGAGACAGAGTCTCCCTATGTTGCCCAGGCTGTTCTGGAACTCCTGTCCTCAAACGAGTCTCCCACCTCAGCCTCCCAGGTGTTGGGATTACGGGAGCAAGCCACAGTGCCCGGCTTGCATTGCATTTTGGCCAAATAGGGCCAGTAGGACTGTGCTGGTGACCTGCTCTGACCTGGGGGGAGGAATCCTTGCTCTGCTTCATGGCCCGCTGGGGGACCGTGGCTCGTTGTAGGGTTGTGGGGAAGGCAAAATGAGGTCATATCTGTCGAGCTCAGAGCCGTGCCTGGCACTCGGTGGGCACCCCGTGGCAATTGTGCATGAGTTTTCATGCATGCAGGCTGGTCGCCTGGGGGCGGGGGCTTTGGGAGCGTCGCCCACCTGCCATTTGTCATGCGGTCAAGCGTGTGCTTTTCCCGAGTAGCCGCTTTGGTATCTGCTCCTCCTAGTGACTGCTGCTGCCTCACTGACTTGGGAGTCGCACCCCCTTGAGGTGGCCCACGTGCGGCTGTGGGGTGTGGACACCTGTCCCTTCTCTCTGTCCTGGCCGTGGGACGTCCATGGGCCAGGTGCCTTGAATTTGCCACTCCTGCAGTGGGGTCCCTCTGCTGCCTCGGAGCACGGCAGCCTGTCCTGGCAGCTCTCCCGCATCTGCAGAGCAGGGTTGGCCTCTGGGGCCTCTGATACTCGTGGCTGGCATGGAGCAGGTGCCCCCTGAACCTGGAGAGAAGCGTGTTGCCTGTTCCCGGCTGCCCTGCTCCTCCTCAGCTCTGGCTGCCACGTACGGGGCCCTCAAGGCACACAGAGGGTGACTCTCGCAGCAGGCCTGGTCTCTCGGGGAGCCCCAGGTGAGCCCGGGTGGCAGGGGCAGGTGTGAGTGCCTCCTGGGCTCCCCCGGCAGGCTCTGCCCCCTCCGTGGCCACCCACGTAATCCGCTGACCACCTGTCTCTGGTTCAGCTTCCAGGCCGAGCGGCCCGCATTGAACGTCGTCATCTTCCCTCTGCTCCACGAGGGCCTGACCGACGTCATCCGGGACGTCCCTCTGGTGCACCTGGATGAGATCACCTTATTTAAGAGCAGAGTGGCCGAGGAACCGCCGAACCTGTGGTGGTGAGAGGCCAAGCCGCCGCCCATCGGTCTGAGTCACCTCAAGACGCTGTAGGAGCCTGGGACACCAGGGACCCTTGGTTTGTTACAAGAGGAAGAGGGCTTCTCTCCCGGCCGGCCACGCCCCACCTGGCTCCTGGGGCTCCCGGCATCTCTGCGGCTCTCTCATGGGAACTGTTGCTCTGTGAAGTTTGGGTTGAGGGGATGTGCTCTGGTTGACATGAGGGGGGTCAGGGGACCGTCGATGTGGAGGCTGGCTGAACCAGGCTGACCCTTGGGGCCTGGCTTGGGGGTTTGTACACTGAGCCTCAATCCCTGGGGGCCCTGTCGATGGGCCTGGAGGACCGGAACTCCGTGCCATTCTGACTGGGAAGCGTGTCCCTTGGCTGTTGTGTTTGTGGTCACCTGCCACTGGGGCCCCACGGATGGGCGGCCACATGCTGTCCCCCTGAAGTCCAGTCGGCCAGGCTGGTCACCGTGTGTCTGAGTGTCCCCTTGCGTGGCCGAGTGTGACATGGGGAAGGGCTTGCCGGTTTAGGCTGCGGACTTAGGACTCTCCGTCCCATTAGAACACACTTGAGCCCACTCATGTCTCTGGGACTTTTCTAGCCCGATGATGCCTGTGGCCCCAGAGAGGTCCCCTGGGGTTGGGACTGCTGGTTGGAGCCTCTCCTATGGCTTTTCAGCCCAATGAGCAGGGCCCGCTTCTCATGAGAGAGGTCTCCTCCTGCTCCCACCCACCCCACAGCCTTCAGCTTCCCTGGGAAGGTCCATGTGCATTCCTGGGGAAATAGATACACATTCGGCTTTGTTAGAATAACGTGCAACATTAAAACCCAGAAAGGATTCATAAGGCTGGAGTAGCAATCATAGGACCCCATTTTGAATGACTTTATTTAAGACTTTAAAAATATTCAGCTGGGCACGGTGGCTCACGCCTGTAATCTCAGCACTTTGGGAGGTCGAGACGGGTGGATCACAAGGTCAGGAGTTCAAGACCACCCTGGCCAACATGGTGAAACCCCATCTCTACTAAAAATACACAAATTAGCTGGGCGTGGTGGTGGGTGCCTGTAATCCCAGCTACTCGGGAGGCTGAGGCAGGAGAATCATTTGAACCTGGGAGGTGGAGGTTGCGGTGAGCCGAGATCACGCCACTGTACTCTAGCCTGGGCGACAGGGCAAGACTCCATCTCAAAAAAAAAAAAAAAAAAAAATATATATATATATATATTCAGTACATTTTGGGAGGATCACTTGACCCGAGGAGTTTGAGACCAGCCTGGGCAACACAGGGATACCCCATCTCTTAAAGAGAAAAAAATTAAAGCTATTCCAAAAATGAGGACACCTTCCCAGCGTCCGAGGCCCAACCCCATGTGCCACGCTGGTCACCTCTGCCGCCTTCCACCTCCAGGCGCTCCTAGAGCTGTCCCTGGGCTGGTGGCTTCTGAGGGGGGCTGTAGTTGGGTCCTGCTCGCCTTGGCCGCTCTTGGTGAAGGGCTCCTTGCCCAGCCTGCCGTCATCCTCCTGGGTTTCCATGTAACAGGTCCACCGTCCTGTGGGGCGGTGTCTCACATTTGCCTTGCTGTTAAAAAATGGGGGACACTGTCCCCGGGCCTCTGATCACCGGCCCTGCCCTTGGGCGGGGATGGTTCTCAGCAGCTCCTTGTCCCAGAGGCCTTTGGAGAACTGGGGTCAGAGCTGTAGGGAGGGACAGCCCTCCTGTGCAGGCTGCCTCCCAGCTCTCCACATGGCAGTCTTGGCACTGCCCTGGCGCCTCTGCTCACTGGCACAGGCAGATCTGGGGTTCGAGGTCTCCTCCCACTTCACCCTGACTTTCTTTCTTGTATGTATGGGGTCAACGCCTCCTCTCTGAAGCCCACGGGTCCTCTCCCAGCCCCAGGCTGCACCCAGTGCAGAACCTTTGCCTCCTGGCTGGAGAGGCCGGTCCGCAGGCTGATTTCAGCAGAGCCTGGTGGTGGGACCAGCACCAGACCACACCTTTGCCTCCCAGAGGCCTCCTGGCCCTCCTGTCATGGCCTCCGAGAGCCATACCCCTCGGCCCCGTCTCCTGACCTGCAGGCCGCAGGACCAGCTGCCCACGGCCCACACACACACTTCCTGGGCGTTTCTTTAGAGCTTTAAAATGGTACCTGGAGACCACCAGGCGCAGTGATCAGATCCGGTGGTGTGGTACCTCCCAGTACTGACCACTTCTTGCTCTCAGACTGAGGTGTGGCAGGAAGGGGATGTGGCCCGGGAGGGAGGCAGGTGGCCTGGGAGTCTCCCGGACCCTCAGTGAGCCTGTGTCTCTGGGCGCTGCAGCTCTGCGCCCCTCTCCTTTCTTCCAGAACATTCCCCACTGGGGCCAGGGAATTGCGTTTGCACCAGGAATGCATCCTAGCGTGTGTATGATCATGCCTGGGTGTCCTGTTCTCATGAGCAAGCGGTTTTAACCAGCAGCATAATTTATACTCATAGACAGGACTGGGGGAAGGGCCGTTCCCGAGGCTGGGGTATAGTGCCTTGGAAAGCACCCCCGAAACAGTAGACCTTGTATTTTTAGTGTCCCCTGCAACCATCCTTTGACTTGGAGCAAGAATTTCCGCTGCTGCTACCCCCGAGATGGGCTTCACCAGATGTTAATAACGTGCTTATTTTCGCTAAGTGCTATTTTGGCACCAGTGTTAGTTGCAATTTATATTCTGCAGCATTTGATGCTGGGAAAAGAACCCACCCTAATAGTCCCCAATTGGCAGAGCTTGGCTGTTAAGCGGCAGACCATATGCTGCCTGCCGGAGAAGCGTGGTCAGCACTTGTCCCCGTGACTGCGTGCGTGTGCATGCGTGTACCTGTGCCCTGTGTGTGCACGTGTGCCTGCGTGCATGTACCTGTGTGCACGTGTGCCTGCGTGTATCTGTGCCCTGTGTGTGCACACGTGCCTGCGTGTACGTGTGCCTGTGTGTGTGTGCCTGTGTAAACCTGTGCCCTGTGTGTGCATGCGTGTGTGAGTCACGTCTTCCCTGTGTGAGTGTGAGGGAGAGACTGAGGGGTTGGAGAGAGGGTGGAGGGGAAAGGGTATGTATCCCTTTGTTCTTTAAAAGGGAGAGCTCCTACTTCTCTGGCTGCCCCGTCCTGCCTGTGCCCCCAGCTCACCCCAGACCTAGCTGCTATTTATTCTACTGACTTCCTCATGGCCCTGCGGCCCCATGGCCCCATGGCCCTGTGGCCTGTGACCCTGCAGCCCCTTGTCCTGCAGCCTCTGCCCCGCTGCCTGCTCCATGTCACCAGGCAACACTGGGCCCCACCAGGCTTCTGAAGGTGGCCCAGGGCAGGCACTTGAGCCTGAGGACCCAGAGCAAAGGTGCCTTTCTGGGCCTTGGGTGCTCCTCTCTGCTGTATGAGGCTTTTCTAGCTTTCAAGGGCCCGTCCAGCCCAGGGGAGCTGGGTGAGGGCTGCTTCCTTCTGCAGCAGAGGAGGCGGGTCCTATCCCTGCCATCCGCTGCCCCCAGACGCCCTGCCAGGACACAGGCCTGAGACGTTTCTTCTCCAAGAGGCTGTCCCGGGACCTGTGTGTGCACAGGGCGGGAGGACACTCGCTGCTTTGACCCAGGACTGCAGCCAGGATGGGCTAAGCTCCTCTGGCGCTAAAAACACACAAGGCATGCCTGCCAGCTCAGCAGCGCCCTCCCTCAACCACTCCCTGTGCCCGGACCCAGAGCCACAGGCCTTTGGGCCCAGGGGACTGGGGCTGGGCTCAGGCTTGGGCCTGGGGGGCTCATGGAGGGGCCAGGCCTAGAGCAGTAGGGCTGCGACAGCTGAGGGCTGGGCCCCTGCCAGCCAATGAAGCTCCAGATCAGTGTCCCGGCCTTGGAGGTGCCAGCAGTGCTCCTGCAGGGATGGAGGGTGCTGGAGCCCTGGATGCGGAGACCCTGATCTCCCAGCAGGCAGTGCTGTGACAGCCTCCCACCTCCTCTTCCCCTGTTATCTGCTCGTTTTAGGATCTGAAAATGACAGGTTTTTTTTTTTTTGAGAGGGAGTCTGCTTTGTCCCCCAGGCTGGAGTGCAGTGGCATGATTTCGGCTCACTCACTACAACCTCTGCCTCACAGGTTCAAACGACTCTCCCACCTCAGCCTCCCGAGTAGCCAGGATTACAGGCATCTGCCATCATGACCGGCTAATTTTTGTATCTTAGTAGAGATGGGGTTGCACCATGTTGGTCAGGCTGGTCTTGAACTCCTGACCTCAAGTGATCCTCTTGCCTCGGCCTCCCAAAGTGCTGGGATAACAGGCGTGAGCCACCGCGCCTGGCCCATTACAGAGCTCTTGTAAGAAAGCTTGTGAAAGTCATGGACAAGGTGTGGCGATGAAGTGTGGGGCCGCTAAACCGGAGGCAGAGGAGACGTCGACCGCCTCCTGTGGACGTGGGCAGAGCGCTGCTGCCAGTTCCTGGTAGCCTTGACCACGACGCTGGGGGGCTCTTCATGATGGCCATGGGTCTCATTTGCACTTGGGGGTGTGGGTTCAAGTTAGAAGTTTCTAGATCTACTGGGCATGATGAACACAAACCCCACAGACACTGAGGAACGCCGTGGTGGCCGTGACTCGGGCCAGCTGTTAATCAGGGCTCCTCTACTCTCTCAAGCTCCTTCAAGAAACATGGGAGGGGCCGGGCGCAGTGGCTCAAGCCTGTCATCCCAGCACTTTGGGAGGCTGGGGCAGGAGGATTGCTTGAGCCCAGGAGTTCGAGACCAGCCTGGGCAACATAGTGAGAGTCTATCTCTACATAAAATTTAAAAACAAGTTAGCTGGGCATTGTACGTGTGCCTGTGGTCCCAGCTACTCAGGAGGCTGAGACAGGAGGTTGCTTAAGGCCAGGAGTTGGAGGTTGCAGTGAGCCAAGATCACACCATTGCCCTCGACCCTGGGCCACAGAGAAATACCCTGTCTCAAAAAAACAAAAAATAAAGCAGAAATGCTGAAGGGGTCGGTTTACAGGAAAACCCCAGATCAGAACACCTGGCTACTCCCGCCCTAGACCAGTGGACCTGGGAATGAGGGTTGGTCCTGGGAGGCTTTTCTCCAAGCTGTTGCCGCCAGACCTGCCGGGGGAACCCTGGCCACAGAAGCCTCCCAGGGAGTGAGCCAGAGCCTGGACCGCTGTGTTGTTGATGTGTCTGGGGCAGAGGGTGGGGAGTGTGCAAGGGTGTGTGTGTGCCAGGGGGTGTTCACGGGCAAGCACGTGCGTGCCTGTGTGTGTGTGTGCCCCTCCCCTGCAGCCGCTGGTGGTACCTCCCTCCAGCCCCTTCGCCACCCTCTGAGCATTGCCCATCCGGGTGAGACTGCCCAGAGACAGCAGAGCTCCACGTGTTTTTAAGGCGAGACCTTTCCCTGGCCCCGGGGGTCTTGCCATATCTCATGACCAGGTGCTAAATGACCCTACATGCATTACCTGCCTTTTGATGACCAACCTCCCTGTCCCCGTCCCGCTGACTTGCCCCCATGGCGTCTCACGGTGATGCCTGCTCCTGACTTTGGTGTTCCCTGTAGCAAACTACCTTCTGGATGGGAATTTTCATGTACATGTGTGGCATGTGGAAAATTTCAAATAAAATGGACTTGATTTAGAAAGCCAGGCAGCTGTGTGCTCCTTCCAGCAGGGACGCTTTGACCTCTTACCTACAACCCCTTCCTTGGGCCCGAGGCTGGTGGCTTCGTTCACTTCAGATGGTGGGGGGTGGGTGCTGTGCTTGGGTGGGGTGCAGGTTGTCTGAAACAGAGGTGTGTGGATGGAGACACAAGACCCAAAGTGGGGAGCAGAGGGGCACACACTCCCCAGGGGGCATCAGGAGGTGACAGTTGAGACAGCCTTGGGCTGGGGAGGCCAAAGGTGAGCGAGGAGGCTGCGTAGGTCAGGATGGGCCTGGCAGGGAGCAGTGCAGGTGCACTGGCATGGTTGTACAGGCTGCACACTGCAAAAGCCTCCCTGTGGTCTGGTGGCAGCTCAGACGGCAAAAGTGGTAACTGGCTGAAGGCAGGCAGGGCCGAGTCAGCTTAGGTGTTCCCCCGAGGCTGTGGAAACAGCCTCAGCCTTGTTCATTCTATTTTATTATCATTTTTTGAGATAGAGTCTTGCTCTGTTGCCCAGGCTGGAGGGCAGTGGTGTGATGGCTCACTGCAACCTCTGCCTCCTGAGTTAAAGCGTTTCTCCTGCCTCAGTCCCCTGAGTAGCTGGGATTACAGGCACCCACCACCATGCCTGGCTAATTTTTAAAATATTTTCAGTAGAGACAAGATTTCGCCATGTTGACCAGGCTGGTCTCGAACTCCTGACCTCAAGTGATCCACCTGCCTCGGCCTCCCAAAGTGCTGGGATGACAGGCATGAGCCGCCAGGCCTGGCTCATCTTAACCATTTTTTTTTTTTTTTTTTTTGAGACGGAGTCTTGCTCTGTCGCCCAGGCTGGAGTGCAGTGGCCGGATCTCAGCTCACTGCAAGCTCCGCCTCCCGGGTTCGGGCCATTCTCCTGTCTCAGCCTCCTGAGTAGCTGGGACTACAGGCGCCCGCCACCGCGCCCGGCTAATGTTTTTTGTATTTTTAGTAGAGACGGGGTTTCACTGTGGTCTCGATCTCCTGACCTTGTGATCCGCCCGCCTCGGCCTCCCAAAGTGCTGGGATTACAGGCTTGAGCCACCGCGCCCGGCCTTAGTTTTTTTTTTTTTTGTATTTTTTAGTAGAGACGGGGTTTCACCGTGTTAGCCAGGATGGTCTCGATCTCCTGACCTAGTGATCCGCCCGTCTCGGCCTCCCAAAGTGCTGGGATTACAGGCTTGAGCCACCGTGCCCGGCCAACCATTTTAAAGTGCGTAATTTGCCAGCAGAGGGTTTTTTTGAAGAAAAAAAAAAAAATAAAGTGCATAGTTCAAGCGGGAGGCGGTGGCTCATACTCGTAATCCCAGCACTTTGGGACATCAAGGCAGAAACATCACTTGTGCCGAGGAGTTTGAGAGCAGCCTGGGTAACATAGTCAGACCTTGTCTCTATAAAAAGTACAAAAATTAGCTGGGCATGGAGGCGCACGACTGTCTGTGGTCCCAGCTATTTGGGGGGAGGCTGAGGCAGAAGCATTGCTTGAGCCTGGGAAGTCAATGTTGCAGTGAGCCATGATTGCACCACTGCACTCCAGCCTGGGCAATAGAGCGAGACCCTGTCTCAGAAAAAAAATGAACTGGCCGGGCGCGATGGCTCACGCCTATAATCCCAGCACTTCAGGAGGCCGAGGTGGGTGGATCACGAGGCCAGGAGATCGAGACCATCCTGGCTAACACGGTGAAACCCCGTCTCTACTAAAAGTACAAAAAATTAGCTGGGCGTGGTGGCGGGTGCCTGTAGTCCCAGCTATTTGGGAGGCTGAGGCTGGAGAATGGCGTGAACCCGAGAGGCAGAGCTTGCAGTGAGCCAAGATCACGCCACTGCACTCTAGCCTAAGCGACAGAGCGAGACTCCGTCTCAAAAAAGAAAAAAAATGAACTGCACAGTTCAGTGGCATTAAGCACATCACAGTGTTGTGCAGCCATTACCACCATCCGCTTCTAGAACTTTCTCATCTTCTGCAACTGAAACTGTGTCCCCATTAAACATTCACTCCCCAGCCCCTCCCTCAGCCCCAGGCACCCACCATTCTACTTCCCGTCTCTATGAGTTTGACTCCTCTGGGTGCCCCGATAGAGTGGAATCTGGGCTGGGCACAGTGGCTCACGCCTGTAATCCCAGCACTTGGAGAGGCCGAGGCTGGTGGATCACCTGAGGTCAGGGGTTTGAGACCAGCCTGACCAACATGGTGAAACCCCGTCTCTACAAAAAGTACAAAAATTAGCCAGGCGTGGTGTGGCGTGTGCCTGTAGTCCCAGCTACTTAGGAGGCTGAGGGAGGAGAATCGCTTGAACCTGGGAGGTGGAGACTGCAGTAAGCCAAGACTGCACCACTGCCCTCCAGCAGCCTGGGTAACAGCGAGACTCCACCTAAAAAAAGAGTGGAATCTGCAGTACATGTGCTTTCTTTTTTTTTCTTTTGAGGTGGAGTTCCATTCTGTCGCCCAGACTGGAGTGCAGTGGCGCAGTTTCGGCTCACTGCAACCTCTGCCTCCTGACTTCAAGGGATTCTCCTGCCTCAGCCTTCTGAGTAGCTGGGATAATAGGCATGTGCCACAATGACCAGCTATTTTTTGGGTTTTTAGTAGAGATAGTGTTTCACCATGTTGGTCAGGCTGGTCTTGAACTCCTGACCTCAGGTGATCCACCCACCTCAATCTCCCAAAGCGCTGGGATTACAGGCATGAGCCACTGCACCCGGCACGTGTGCTCTTGAGGCTGGTTTATTTGCTGTGTCAGTTTGGAGCAGAGACCTCCTTTGCCTGTCCTGGCCTCTGGGAAGAGGCTTGGTCCTGAGTGGGGCAGGAGGTGGGAGGAGGGACCAGAGTCCAGATGGGGACAGGGCTGCTGCAGAACGTAGTGGCCACGATGGGGCCCCTCACATGAACTGGGGACTCAGCAATACCTCCTTCTGGCTTGGTCCTTGAGGTGATGGTGTTTCCCTGGCAGAAATGGTGACATAGGGCCGGGAGCCTCCCATCCTGCCCAACATTGAGCCATTGCCTGTGGTTGACATGCACCCACTGCCCCCTGGTGATGTCTCGTGTCTGGCTGGGTCGGTGCTGGGGAATTGGGCAGTGGGTGGGGGCGGATCCACTGTGCCGCTGACGCCAGTGGCTGCAGCAGGGGAGAGAGGATGGGAATGCACGCAGCGAGGAAGCCCAGGAGCCCTTCCTTCAGAGACACACTTGAGACTGTCATTACAGCAACAGGCAAGCGGGGAGAGGAGGCGCCAAGGCTGAGCAATAGCCAACAACATTCCATCTTGTACATAACAAGGCACTCCCAAGTTCAGGGTCCAGAACAGCCACTGTGAGGTGCTCACGGCTTCTCCAGGGCAGGTGTTTGCACAGGGGACGGCACTACGACTTGTCTGTTCTACCATGTCTGGAGCCTCTGCTGCAGTGACTCAGCAGTTGGGGACTGGTCTCCTGGAAGCATCTTTACTCACAGGTCTAGTGGTCAATGCTGGTGTTGACCTGGACCTCAGTAGGGCCCGTGGCTGGCTGGAACACTTCCATGTGGCCTCATGTGGCCTGTCCATGAGACCTCTCCATGTGGCTTTGTCATGCGGCCTCATGTGGCCTGTCCATGAGACCTCTCCCATGTGGTCTCTCTATGTGGCCTCTCCATGTGGTCTCTCCATGTCGTCTCTCTACCTAGGCTAGTTGGGCTTCCTCACAGCATGGCAGTTGGGTCCCAAGAGCAAGCATCTCCAGAAAACCAGAAGGATGGGCCCTGGCTTTGGCTGTCACATGGTATCACTTCCACACACTGTCGACCAAGGCAGTCCCAGAAGCTGCCACATTCAAGAGATGGGGCACAGATCCCCCACTTGCCAGAATGAGTGTTGAGCTGTCATTGCAGAAGACCTCTTGGGGTGGGAGGTCATGTGACCAGTTTTAGAAAGTGTGTCATAGTGCACTGGGCCTGTTGGTGTTGGCCTTGGCCTTGCCGAGGGGTGTGCTGGGGGTGTGGTGGGGGCAGCAGCTTCAGTCCAGATCTGGGGGAACTTGTGTTTTCCCACACGCCTCCTGAGCTGATGCTCCTGCTTTCATTTTTGTTTTGAGACAGGGTCTTGCTCGGTCACCCAGGCTGAAGTGCAGTGGCGTCATCCTAGTTCACTGCAGCCTCGGCCTCCTGGGCTTGAGTGGTCTTCCTGCCCCAGCCTCCTGAGGAGCTGGGACTGTAGGTGCGCCCCACCACACCACACAGGGTCTTACTGTGTTGCCCAGGCTGGTCTCAAACTCCTGAGCTCAAGAAATCCTCCCGCCTCAGCCTCCCAAAGTGCTGGGATTACAGGTGTGAACCACTGCGCCTAGCCGTGATGCCCCTGTTTTGTGAGGGGCACTGTGCCAGGGAGGCCAGAACATGTGAAGAACCCTGAAAAGATCAGGGGTCTGTACCTGGAGTCCACTGAATGTGTGAAGCCCCCTGGCCGTTGTCCATGTGGGAAGACTTTAAAATAAAATCAAAATGGCCTCAGCTGGGTGCGGTGGCTCACGCCTGTAATCCCAGCACTTTGGGAGGCTGAGGTGGGCGGATCACGAGGTCAGGAGATGGAGACCATCCTGGCTAACACGGTGAAACCCCGTCTCTACTAAAAATACAAAAAATTAGCCAGATGTGGTGGCGGGCGCCTGTAGTCCCAGCTACTAGGGAGGCTGAGGCAGGAGAATGGTGTCAACCCGGGAGGCGGAGGTTGCAGTGAGCCGAGATTGCACCATTGCACTCCAGCCTGGGCAAAAAGAGCAAAACTCTGTCTCAAAAAAAAAAAAAAAAAGAAAGAAAAAGAAAAAAGAAAAAGCCCAGCCCTGTGTGTTCTAAGGGTTTGCACTGGAGGCCTCGGGAGTCGTGGCTGGAGGAGGGTGCTCGGAACAGCTAGCTTGAGAGGCTTTGGCTGCCCCCAGGAGCCCTGCACAGCTGATTGATTTATTGCGGGCGTAGAACTTGCAGGATAGTGGAGGTGGCGTGACGGAATCCT